TCAATCGAACGTCAGAATTGGTGAAGACCTGTTGCACTTTGTGGACGTCCCAAGTAGCATGAATTCTTTGCATTCAATGAGATTCAAGGGGTTGTCGATGTATGTGTCTTCTAACTCAATTCTAGAGGAGCCACTCCCTGAGTTCGTGTGAATTTTGGCACCACTGTCAATGCTGATTCTCCAGAAGAAAGCTTGCTTTGGTGATTCTTTAACCTTCAAAATGCAGTTCCATGCAAACGAAGCTTTGTCACTCGGCCTTGCCACTAAAATATCGCTTATAGGAAATTATTTAGCCGCAATAACTTTGTAACATAAGGTCTCCTTTTTGTGCAAAAGCCCTCATATTTGTTTTCCTACATGAGCGGAGTTAAATAATTTTAAATCTCGAAAGTCTATACCTCCATCTCTTTTGGAGCGACAGGTTTTCGGCCACGCAACATATGCCCAACCTTTTTTATTTGCCTTATTCGACCACCAATACTATCTCATAGTAGAAGCGATGTTGTTGAGTATTTCAAATTTCAAGAGAGAATAATATTTTTTAATTATTAAGATTGTTTGATGAATTTATATTTGAACGATTAATAAATTAAGATATATGACACTTAACTATATTATCATTTTTGACAGAAAATATTAGCTTAATAATCTAATTGATGTACTGATTGAATAAAGGGTAATGATGGGATTCGAAGCCCCATAATTAAATATTTCAGCAGGGTTTCTTTTCCCTCTCTTGTTTTTGCATACTCGTTTATTGAACTCAATACTATTTTTAATATGATTATATATATATTAATAACATAAAATTTTAAATGAGATGTATAAAATTAAAATTTTAAAATAAAATTTTATTAATAAAATAAATAAATAATTAATTAAACATTTTTAACTTTTATTAATTTGACTTTGTAGGGTGCTGTAGGACTACTAATGAGTTTAACAGAGAAGTTGATATATTTTTGTAGGACGGTGGGATGTGTTTTCATGTGCATTTGTTTGACGGTGGCATTCATAATAAATATAATAAAACTGTAACTTTGGTATATAAAGTTATGGAAATATTTATTACGTCCAGAGGTAGGATGCTTAAATTCAAATCTTAGGTCTGCTGTCAACTAATATCAAGTAAAAAGTTAAATTGTGAATTTTAATGTAATTATAATATAATAAAAGACAGTAAATACACAAATCTATATGTCTACGTTACCACATAATGTTCCTTTTAGCATATTATATTCTCAGAGAATTTTATTTATCTAGAAACAAAGAATTTATGCAATCAAATCCCTTATAATCAGTAAAAGAATACTCACCCCTTATACAAGATTTAGTTCAATACAAAAAAATCTATTGATACTTTTTGCTTTATTAATAGACAAACCTTACTATTTACACCTTACAGCCTCCCTAATACATCGAACAATATTATTAACCTACAAAAATTTTTGTTGAAAAATAAGGAGATTCTTCTTCCTCCACACATAATAGATAAAAGAATTCCAAGCAATTTTCATGGCAACAATAAAAAGAGAGCCGCCCTTAAAGTGGTTAACAACCCACGTTAGTTCCCAATCCTGGTCCCTCTCTTCATGTTGCAGATGGTAAAACTGTATCACTCTTGACCAAACAGATTTAAAGAAGGAGCAACCAAAGAAGATATAGTCCCTTGGCTCTAGTTCACTCCCACATAGAACACAACCAACGTCCACATTGAGACCACAGGAGATCAACATATCCCTTGTAGGAAGTCTATTTAATATTGTTATCCAAGAAATAACCGAATGCTTCGAATATGATGCCACACTAATTTATGTCATATAGAATTGCCCATCTAGCTCAGTTGGTAGAGCGCAAGTCTCATAACCTTGTGATCGAGTCCCACTGAGGACAATTCATAACGGAAGTCTTCCACGGAAGTTGCTCTCAACCTAACGTTACGGGTAGCTACTACCCTACCTCCCCTTACCCCATTACAAATGGGAATAAGGTTAGCTAATTTACTAATTTATGTCATACAACTGTATCCCTCTTTTGCCTCACAACGTCCAAAATTCTTGCAACTCTAAACTATGAATCTAAGAAATTCAAATTCAAAGCATATGACCTCAATTTTAGAGGCCTTCTCCGCACCCAGCTACTCCCACCTGCCACGTTCACTTGTCAAAAAGTACACCCTTTCAATATTACCAACTTTATTTAGTTAACTTTCAAAAAAAAAAACTTCATTTAATTAGGCAAGGTTTCGGTTTTCTCACAAATTTACTAATTCTTTTAATATTTTTTAAAAAATAGTTTTTTCTCAGTAAATTTTTTATTTTTACATGTAGAAAGATAAAACATGATCACCTCATGCCTCATTAAAAGAAATCCCTCCAAATGTAGGAGAAAAGGGCACATAAGGTGAACATGACCCAAAGTACACGCTTGAAATATACAAGCCTCTCATAAACGATACAAAATCAGGATACATTCCAGACTTCTACACACCCTATCCAAAACATGCCTTACACGTATCTCAACCAGAAAACTGCACTCAGTAACTTGCACACCTCCTATGATGTTAGCCGTTCTAAAATCAGAGCCTACGTTCAGATGAATTCCACCTTATTCTCTAAATCTATATCCCACCACCAAGCTTTGAACATGGAAAGACGCAACATACCTTCCTTTGCAAGATATTCTGTCATTGAATTGCTTTTTCTACTAACATAAATAAATTGCACCTTTCCAATTTTGCTGATCTGGTTGTCGATTTCTACCACCAGCAGCCACCAACGCCAAGGGCGAATCGGCACTTCATTGATCCAATTTAACACAACTTTAGAGTCTGATTCACGATCAACTTCGTTTTCCCTAACCAATTAGCCTCAATAAAAATCTCTAGCGCTGATTTTATTGATGAAAGTTTTGCATAGTCGGCCCAAAACCCTCCACCAGTCCTGAGAACAAAGCCCTCTAGATCCCATCCAACGTGCGTAGCACTCCCTCACACCCTGACGTCTTGTTTTCGCTGCGCCATCCACATTAAACTTTAGGTAGCCTGCCCCGGTGGAGACCATACGGAATTGTCGCCCTCACTTCGTGATTAACAATCCAACACACATGAAGGATTATCTCACCATTCATCCAAATCTGGCAACCAACCCTCCTTTGAAGCCTTTAACCAAAACAAGGCGCGAAGCTTAGTGTAGAACAGAAGATCCTTCAAAGTTACGGTCTTCTCCTTGAATATTTTCTTGTTCAAAATAAATTTTTAATTTTTAAGGCTTATGATTTTAGAGTTACAATTATAATTAGGATTTAGGGTTGGAGTTTAAGGGTTTGGACAAGGGTTACAGTTTGGGGCGTTCATGTTTTAGGGTTTGATAAATAGAATTAAAAGGAATTAATGAGAATTAATATGGCATTCAGGTTATAGGGTTTATCCAAATTTTTATCCTGTATTTTTATCTGAGTCACGTACCTTATTTATTAATTAAATAAATAATTGCTAAATTTAATATATATATATATATATATATATATATATATATATATATATATATATGTCTTAATTTGTTAATATTATTTACAAAGTTTAAGTAACGTGGATGGAAATTTTAGAAAAAATAATTTAATTTAATTTGCCTACATCCAAAAGAGCCATGATTCACATGCACATATGATAATTAAGTGATAATATAATTGTCCAGTTTGGATTGGCCAAGAACCTGATAATTAATTCATCAGCCTAACTTAATTAAGAGCACGCTTATTATTTTTGATTAATTTAATTTGATTTATTAACTAAAATTGAAAACACATGTATAACCAAGTGATCAAGGTGGTAAAAGAATTGATATTTTTTCTTGAGGTCAAGAGTTTGAACACCATGATTGTCAAGAGTATGAGCGTTGAAGGTCAAATGGTTAAGAATTATTTTTAAACATATATTACATTGTACATACCTTTATTACTCGACCTTGGTATTCTTTCTTTATCCTTTTTAAATTTAATTGTGCTGCAAATTAACACATTGTTCATTACCCATTTTTATAAACAATTTATTTACAATTTACCTTGGTCGATGGAATACCATAATGTGACCTGAATTGATATGTGCAGTTAAAAATATTCATCACATTTATAGAATCAGTTTTTAAAATCATTGTAATGATTACTTTTAAAAATACTAGGAATATGTACATGTGTCTCATCGACTATTGGTGATTCACTCTACTGATTTGGACGAAGAATTATAGTCTGTGAGTTAATGGTCATTGGTTGATGTTTCTCTGCGAGAGATAGAAACATAAAAGGAAAAAAGGAAAATGACTAAGGAGAAGAAAGTGGAGAGGATACCCTCTAAGTTGTGACTGAAAAGATATTTATAATGATTCTAGTTGATAGTGTTAGATATACGGTGAATATGAGTACTCTTAGATCAATATACTAAATAGATATATTCTTAGATTTTGAATTTTGCTTTGATAGATTAGGTTTATCTTTATGAGGTATTATCTATGCACTCTAACTGGCTCAGAAGTTGTGATACTCTTGTGCATTGACAATATAGATTTCTTGGAAACTCCAATAAATATAATAATATATTCAGAGATTTCGACCGGTGGAAAGTTAACAATTTTTGGAGATAAGATACCATTATTAATTTAATTATCCAAATAAATATTAACTTTATCAACTGAAATAAAATCATAAGAACCATCCATTATTTATTTATGATTACATTTATAAAATGTAAAACTCCAAACTTTAATTAAATCCAAACAGCAATAAAAATGAGAGAGAGGAAGAGAGTGATGTATAGATTTCCTTTACAGCAGAAACCACATTGAATGCAACGCGGTTTTGTGAGGCAGAGGAGGCATTGGCATAGCTGCTGAGCTGACTTCGGCATTTCATTTAATTAATGCCATTGACTCTTTGGAAACAGGGAGTTGGAAAATGCTCTCCTTTTAACCTTATATATTCCCAGCCCACAAACTTTTCCTTAAGCTAACATAGAAAATCGCATAGAATCTCTTCTTTGTTATTGTTGTTGAGGGTTCATAAGGTGACTGATAATGGGGAGACCACCTTGCTGTGACAAAGCCGGTATTAAGAAAGGGCCATGGACTCCTGAAGAAGACATCATCTTAGTGTCTTATATTCAACAACATGGTCCTGGGAATTGGAGGGCTGTTCCAACCCATGCAGGTTTTTTTTTAATCTTTTGGGTTAAATGATCATAAAGCAAATGCAATTGAATATAATGAAGGTTAATGCATCTTTGTTTTTTTTTTATTTATGGGTTTTTGTTTACCAGGGTTGCTCAGATGTAGCAAGAGTTGCAGGCTAAGGTGGACTAACTACTTGAGACCAGGGATTAAAAGGGGTAACTTTACAGAACATGAAGAGAAAATGATAATCCACCTTCAAGCTCTTTTAGGCAACAGGTAATTATCGACCTTTTCCCCTGATTCTTTTTAACTAATTAAGAGGTGTATAATGTGTTTTTCTTGAGGTGCAGATGGGCTGCAATAGCATCTTACCTGCCTCAAAGGACAGACAATGACATTAAAAACTATTGGAACATTCATTTGAAGAAGAAGCTTAGGAAACTCCATGGTAGTGAAGGTTATTGCAGAAGTGGGTTTTCATCATCAGCTTCATCGGATCATATTTCTAGGGGTCAATGGGAGAGGAAGTTGCAGACTGATATAAATATGGCTAAGCAGGCTTTATCAGATGCATTGTCCCCTGAGAAATCAAGTGGTTTAACTGAGTTGAAACCCTGTAATGGGAGCATTTATGCAAAACCAGGAGGGTATGCATCAAGCACTGAGAATATAGCTAAGATGTTAAAAGGGTGGATGAGTAAGAGTCCATTAAAGCCTGGCTGGACAGGCTGTGGTGTCACGGAGCAGTCGGTTAATTCTAGTGATGGGACTGATGAAGATTCAAGGAAGGAAGAAGAAAAGAGGTGCAGCAAGGAAATGACTGAGGCTCTTGAGTCGTTATTTGCGTTTGAATCTTTTGATTCTTCAAACTCTGATGATTTCTCACAATCTATGTCAACTGAGCCGGATCTTGATCCCCATGCAGGCCAACTTTCATTGCTTGAGAAATGGCTATTTGATGACACTGCAAATCATGGGAGAGATTGCCAACTCAGTGATATCACATTAGATGAAAATCCTATGTTTCTTCTAAATGGGGGGACTTGAGTTCTTTTGGGTATTCTTTGATCTTGGCTTATTTTTTCATAGTGAGCCCTCTTTAGTGGCATAAACAGATATTTAAATTACAGTGGCTGCTGTATTTTTAATTGTATTGCGTTTATGGTGATTGTAAATGTAGTAAAAATCATTTATTTATTTGGAGAGCTTTAAGAATATTATATTCCACCCAAAAAAAAAAAACTTGCGGAAGAAAATACAAGAATTAAATGAATGGACAACATATTAATAGCACACAGTCCCTCCAATTTATTGGATGTGCTGAGGAATTAAAGGGTGAATGAATCTCCGATGAAAATTTTATACATACACAAAAATTTAAATTAAAAATATACTTAATTGATATCAAATTATTTATCACTTAAATTTATCGATAAGAGTTAATATCAATGCTTTTGTTTGATCTTAAACAACTCAAAATGTACTAGATTTATTAATTAATTGAGTGATATGACGTGAATTCAAATCGAAATGTCACAAGATCGTTTCTATTTCCGATACATTTTTTTTTCTTGGATTATGTCTCAGAAATTTTTTTTACCCCAAACCTATATGTATATATAAATATAAAATTCTCAGCATGGTCTGGCCATAAATGCAAACATGTGAAAGGCTTTTGATTTTAACAGGTTGGAAAAGTAGTTTTCAATAATAATCCTGACCATGCATTATTGCAACAAAATTTAGTCTATCATATGCCATAAGAAACTTGGTATCAGTTACCTTGATTTAATTAACTGCTCCAATTCATACTAGTGACAGATAAATTGTTCGAATTCAGTTTTTTTTTTTAAATAATAATATTTTTTTATTATTAAGAATACTCGATAAATATAGTTTTCAATTTTTTTTATTTTTGTTCCACTTTAAATCTTGATATTTTGTATACAATTTTATTGGTTATCTATAACTAATTTGATCCCCTTCTGATATCTATAATTAATTTAATAATTTCCCTTAAAATTAAAAATTTTATGATTTATATTTATAATAATTATTTATGTCTATAATATCTATAAATAAAATACAATAAAAATAAATTCACACGGTAGTAATTTGAGAAGAACAAGTCAAATATAGTTTTGGAAGACATTTTCTTATATCAGACGTCATTTAGTGCAGTTACATGCCACATGCCGAAGTGATGGGCACAAATTTGTTTTTCACATATTATAGTATACATCAATTTCATCTTGTAATATTTATATTTAATATTTGTTATATTAATTTTTTTTGTATAATACTTAAAATTATGGTATATATAAATTAATTGTGTTAAATTATTTTAATTAATTTGATTGATTTAAAATAAATATTATAATAATATTTTCTTCAAAAATTATTTATATTTCTCACGCCCTCTCGCATAACTATGCAAGGATCTAATGAATTACCCTATTAGTTATATTTTTATTAACATTTTTTTTCTATTTTGATCACCAAATTATCTTCCTAACAAAAAAGATAATAATGTTAGTTTTTTATTTTAATCGCTAGTTATTAAAAAAATTAACAAGGATACTAATATAAATTTTTTAATTTTCCATATCATTTTCTCTCTCTTCATCAACTGTCTAAGTGATGTTTTTCTTTTATTTTATACAAAAATAAAATAATGACACATATCACCATTTTATTCGACAAATTAAAGGGCAAAATGGTTAACCAATAGACTTGACTATGAGCTTAATACATTTCAACCAAAACCTATATTTAAGTCAAACCATTCTCTTTTCATTTCTTTCCTTGCAATTGGCATTTATTAGTTTCATTAGGGACAGTTGGAAGATTTTATTTTAGAAGGTGAATATATAAAATTTTAGGGACAAAAATAAATTATCAATAGAAATAAAAGATCTAAAATATACAAGAATTTGTTTCTTCCCGATACTACTTGCTAAGGACTCTGGCGAATAGTTCTTCCATTATAGGTTTGGTTACCTTGCAATCTCCATGGACATGTTTGATAATTTTGCTAATGTCAATAACTTAATGATCTGTTAATTCTCATCACAATTGGATGCATAGGCTCTCTATAACTGCTTTCTTATCTGTTAAAACCTAATAAGTAATAAATTCTCTCTTGTATTGCTTTTTTTTTTTTGGGCTTTTGAAATGGGAAAAACCGACCCCTTCTCTATATTGCTTTTGTTAACTGTGAAGGGGGAGAAGCGTACACTGTTTCCTTCGATAGAACAAATGGGAGAGGAGCCTCTCATTACGAAGTTTTTTTCCAGAGAAAAAAAATGAAAAATCGAAGCCCCCTCAAATTATTTTTTTGGGGTTTTATATGAACCCATGTTACAGAGAAAAAATGTAAAATTACAAATCTTTTTTTTTCTGTCTTTTCTTCGTGCATGTGCTGTTGCTGATATGGCGAGGAGAAGGGCTCGATTTGCTTGCTGCAGCTGGTGTGGTGCAAGGGACCCCTTACGTGGCTGCTGGAGACTGATGTGGCTGTTGTGCTTATTGCTGGGGTGGCCATTCACGTGGGGTTGATGTTGGGCTAATTGGTGTTTGGTTGAGTGGTTTTTAATTTATTTGTGTAAATGGGATACGTCTAGTGTATGAATGGGTTGATTTTTGTATAATGGACATTTTAATTTTGGATTTGTATTTGATATCGATGATGGAGATTTAATTTGAATCTAAATTTGGGTCTCAAATATGATCACCAAACCCCCAAAATTATGATTTAAGCCAAGATTTGAAGAAAACTATACCCGTTTTAGTGATATTTGCTCCTGCAACAATGTGATGCCAAATTTCTAATGTTCAAAAAGTAGTTTAATCATTACATGAGAATGGAATTTGTCGTTCTGTTAAGCAGAGCGTATCTTGCATTTTGACATTTTAGTGCATCTTTCTATTCATATCACTTACAATTGTTGTTTTGATTATTAGTTCTTAGAAAATGCAAAAGAGCTATTGCATGATTTCGTTGAAGTGTAGCATTAATTTGTTCTCTCGTTCTACCGTCTTCAAGGGGACTTTTTTCGTCTGGATGCTCCTCTTACCTTCTATCTGATTTTGTCAATTTCTACTGTAATAGAAGCCTGTGCCAGTGGCATTTACAGTACATAACACAACATAAATTGGTACTGTAGTAATATAGTGATGCCCTGAATGGTTAAATTTGTATTGCATATTACCTGATTTTCGCTTTCTTATACATGTAGGTGGCTCCATTTGAACGTCCAGCCCTGAGTAAGGGATATCTCTTCCCTGAGGGTAAGCTGTGACCCCAATACATTTTTTATATACTCATTTGCAAAGTTCAAATAAACTCTAAAGTCGCATAAATGCGATGGTAACTATACTTTTAGTTGCAACACTGATTTTTCTGGCCATCTTATTGTTTTTCTTTTTTCGTTTAGCAACAAGATTTTATTTATTAAATAAAGCCTCGCTGCACGCGTCATTAAAAATCTCCCTAACCTAAATGGAGGAAAAGAGTACATGGCAGTAAGGAGAAAGAATACACAACATATAAAGCACCACACTGAGAAGGGACGAAATATAGAATCAACAAAAGTAAAAAACCAAGCATACAAATACACACAAAGTGCAGACAAATGAACCAAAGCAGCTTTGAAGGGTAGAAAGCATTAGTAACGGCAAGCACTCTCTTTACTGCATGCAGGAGGCAGAAAATCGTGGGATAATACCCTTCCAATCTAGAAGAAAAAACAATCAGCTACACCTTGGAGGTGTTTTTCTCTTTAGCTCGAGAGAAACCTACTGTTCTGGGATTTTGAGCGTTACTGTGCTATTGGAGACTGGTACTGTTAATCAATGTGCTAGTTGGAGGAAGTTCGCAGGTGGCGAGGTTTGTGTTTCTTTATTCCATCTGTGTAATCGTGGCTGGTGCGTAATTCATCATTGAAAGATTTGATCTTCCGACTCCTTCATTGGTGCAATTGAGGTTGGCCGCTTGTTTAGTGGTTTACGGTGTTTGTCAGCTTAGCTTTCTTGGTTGATTTAGTAGTTGATGTGTAGCTTGAACTCGTTATGGTTTAGTTCCCTTTTTGGTGTAAATGTTGTTGGTCAAATTGTATGTACTCTTTTCCTCTATTTAGGAGTAGAGAGGTCTTTAACAAGGCATACAATTTGACCCTATTAGGTTCTTCCCTTAGTAAAATTTCTTTTGTCGAGAAAAAAAAGAAAGAAAAAACAATCAGCAGAGAATCACCCATAAAGCGAACCAAATTCAAGCTCCGAACCTGATGGAAAGAGGCTAAATGACCAAAAACAACAATTTAAAAACAGGCACCCTTTTTTTGACAGAGCTTCCGCTTCAGTTCTAAGAGCTCCACCATAACCCGCAGCATCCTCTTTGACAGCCTTGACTACATTGAATTTAAGATGGCCTGCCTCTGGGGGTGACCATCTCAAGTCTAGAGTGTCTTTGTAGCCTGCGTCTAAACATTTCAAAGGGTTCTCCCACCAATAAACATCGTTTAAGATCACATCTTCTTTATTTGGCTTGCACCAAACGAGGGATCGCATCTTAGATTGAAATACAAGGTCCTTGGAATTTGTATTTTTGTCTTGAAATAATTTCTCGTTTCTTGCTAACCAAATGCTCCACAATGCCGATGCAGCACAAATACGCCAGATCGATTTAGCCACGCCTGGAAATTTGATTTGGAAGCAAAAATACAACAGTTCATCAATTGAACTAGGATTCGACCAAGATATTCGCCACCAACCGTACAAACAGTTCCAAAAGAAAACTGTAATGACCCATTTTCACCCATATATATTATTTTCATAAAATAATAAGGGTAAAGTATAGAAATGGTCACTGAACTTTTCTAAAGCTTGCATTTAGGTCCCCCAACTTTAAAAACTTGCAATACAGTCCTCTAACATTTAGTCCGTTTGCAATATGGTCCCTGACGTAACCGGCCGTTTAACGCCGTTACACTCCCGTTAGTCCGTTTGCAATATGGTCATTGAACATTTCAGGCGCTTGCATTTAGGTCATTGAACATTTTAGGCGCTTGCATTTAGGTC